GTGGAGTGGCCGCTAAGGCCTTCCCTGGTGGAGCGGCCGGGGATCGAGCTGGCGCTGCGGAGGCTGCGGGCAGCTTCGCAGCCAAGCGTTCAGCCGCTGCGCCGCCGGGGAGACCCCCGAGCTACTGGGAGGTAGGGTTGCTTACCAGGGCCTCCCCTGGTGGAGCGGCCGCCAAGGCCTTCACCTGGTGGAGCGGCCGGGAATCGAACTGGCGCTGCAGAGGCTGCGGGCAGCTTCGCAACCCAGCGTTCAGCCGCTGCGCCACCGGGGAGGCCCCCAAGCTACTGGGAGGTAAAATTGCTTACCAGGGCCTCCCGGGTGGAGTGGCCGCTAAGGCCTTCCCTGGTGGAGCGGCCGGGGATCGAACTGGCGCTGCAGAGGCTGCGGGCAGCTTCGCAACCCAGCGTTCAGCCGCTGCGCCACCTGGGAGGCCCCCAGGCTACTGGGAGGTAGGGTTGCTTACCAAGGCCTCCCCTGGTGGAGCGACCGGGGATCGAGCCGGTGTTGCGGAGGCTGCGGGCAGCTTCGCAACCCAGCGTTCAGCCGCTGCACCGCCGGGGAGACCCCCGAGCTACTGGGAGGTAGGGTTGCTTACCAGGGCCTCCCCTGGTGGAGCGGCCGCCAAGGCCTTCACCTGGTGGAGCGGCCGGGAATCGAACTGGCGCTGCAGAGGCTGCGGGCAGCTTCGCAACCCAGCGTTCAGCCGCTGCGCCACCTGGGAGGCCCCCAGGCTACTGGGAGGTAGGGTTGCTTACCAAGGCCTCCCCTGGTGGAGAGACCGGGGATCGAGCCGGAGTTGCGGAGGCTGCGGGCAGCTTCGCAACCCAGCGTTCAGCCGCTGCACCACCGGGGAGGCCCCCAAGCTACTGGGAGGTAAAATTGGAGCGGCCGGGGATCGAACTGGCGCTGCGGAGGCTGCGGGCAGCTTCGCAACCCAGCGTTCAGCCGCTGCGCCACCTGGGAGGCCCCCAGGCTACTGGGAGGTAGGGTTGCTTACCAAGGCCTCCCCTGGTGGAGCGACCGGGGATCGAGCCGGTGTTGCGGAGGCTGCGGGCAGCTTCGCAACCCAGCGTTCAGCCGCTGCACCACCGGGGAGGCCCCCAAGCTACTGGGAGGTAAAATTGCTTACCAGGGCCTCCCGGGTGGAGTGGCCGCTAAGGCCTTCCCTGGTGGAGCGGCCGGGGATCGAACTGGCGCTGCGGAGGCTGCGGGCAGCTTCGCAGCCAAGCGTTCAGCTGCTGCGCCACCGGGGAGGCCCCCCTTCGCCCCCCTTCCTCCCCCTCCCCCCCCCCCAAGCTACTAGGAGGTAAGATTGCTTGCCAGGCCCTGGTGGAGGGGCCGGGGATCGAGCTGGCGCTGCGGAGGCTGAGGGCAGCTTCGCAACCCAGCGTTCAGCCGCTGCGCCACCGGGGAGGCCCCCAGGCTACTAAGAGGTAAAGTTGCTTACCAAGGCCTCCCCTGGTGGTGCAGGTGGTTGAGTGCAGTGCTGTGAAGCAGCCTCTGCATTGTGGGTTCAATCCCAGCCGGCCAGCAAGAATCCCACATGGCAGAGCCGACCTCTCCTGTCTCATCCTGATGCTCTCCTCAGCAGTGTATTTCAGTCAGTCTGCCTGTTCTGTTCCCCACTCTGTCTCTGGTGAATCCTCTCACCTTCCCGCACATCTGGCCTGTACCCTGGTTCTTGTATGCATGACTAAATCTTTAAAAAAAAATTGTTTACCAAGTATGTGATGATTTGAGTTAATGATCCTACCTAATTTTACATCCCTGAGCAATAGATCACTCTTACCATTGTATTAGAGTAGCTGAAGTGAACTTATCTGCTCCATGACTTTAGACTAGGCCATATTACTCACTTTGGACAATGGGGTGTTAACCAAAATAACATGTTTAAAATGTGCTTGTATGGTTCAACTTGACCTATATTTTGTCACATACTCTGTTCACAGATGAAATCCTAAAGTGAGACATCCTTAAGTCAGGTCTTTTTTTTTTTTTTTTTAAGATTTATTTATTTATGCATACAAGAACTGGGGTACAGGCCAGAGGTGTGTGGGGGATGAGTGGATTCACCAGAGACAAAGTGGGGAACAGAACAGGCACATTGACTGAAATACACAGCTGAGGGGAGCAGCAGGCGAGCCAGGAAAGGTCTGCTGCGTCATGTGGGTAGCTCTCTGGCTGGCTGGGGATCAAAAATGTGCTGCAGAGGCTGCGAACAGCTGCATAGGTTGCATCTTAACCCCTTGCGACACCAGGGAGGCCCAAGTCAGGTCCCTCTAATGGCTGGATACCTTTCAGACAAAAGACTAGCCTTGGGCTGCGAGTTTCTCTTTATCTGGAGAAGCAGAACATGTTCATCTTGGTAATGTAGCCAGGCTAGAAAACAGAAAGCAGTTAGACTTGGTTAACAGTTAAGCAATGAGCAGAAAGAAGGCAGGGCTATTTGGGGGATGTATTTAAGCCTTTGGGGACATCCTGGTTTCAGAAATGAGAGTGACATGACAGTATATGTAATGCCACCACACTGTGCACTTAAAAATAGTTAACATGGGCCTCCCCTGGTGGCGCAGTGATTGAGCGCTGGGTTGCGAAGCTGACTGCAGCCTCTGCAGCGCTGGTTCGATCCCGGCTGCTCCCCGGCCACCAGAGGAGGGTCCCACGTGGCGTGCAGACCTCTCCTGCTGCCCGCTGCTCCCCTCAGCAGTGTACTTCAGTCCTTCTGCCTGCTCTGCTCCCCGTTCTGGCTCTGGTGAATTCTCTCACCCTCCTGCGCTTCTGACTGTATCCAGTGCTTGTATAAATGAATAAATAAATAATAAATAAATCTTTAAAAAAAATAGTTAACATGCCTTCCTGTGTACAAATAATGAACTAGAAGAAGAAATTAAAGCAATCTCACACACAAAAATTAATTACCTGGGAATAAACTTAACAGAGGAGGTGAAAGACCTTTACCATGAAAACTATAAAACATTGTTAAAAGAAACAGAACACAAAGAAATGGAAATATATACCCAGCTCATGGGTGAGAAGAATCAACATTGTCAAAATGGCCAACCAACCCAAAGCAATTTATAGATTCAATGCAACCCCAATAAAAATCCTAATGGCATTCTTCAAAGAAATACAACAAAGATTACTGAAGTACATACGGAAACACAAAAGACACCAAATTGCCAAAGCTTTCCTCATATAAATGGGTGGGGGGAATAAAGGTATCATACTTCTGACTTCAAACTATAGTATAAAACCATAGTAGTTAAAGCAGCATGGTAATGGACCAAAAAACAGACACACAGACCAATGGAATTGAATTGAGAGCCCAGAAATGAAACCACATGTTTATGGGCAATTAATATACAACAAAGGAGCAAAGTACATATACTGTAACAAGGAAAGCCTCTTTAATAAATGGTGCTGGAAAATGGCACCGCCACATGTAAAATAATGAAACTCGACCATTATCTCATACCATACATGAAAATCAACTCAAAATGGATAAAAGACTTGGATATAAGACCTGAAGCCATCAAATATATATAAGAAAGCCTATGCAAAACGCTCCCTAACATAAATCTCAGAAATATATAAAAGAGAAAATAAACAATGGATACTATATCAAACTAAGTTTCTGTAGAGCAGAAAAGACAGTGACTAAAACAAAGAGACACCCTTCCAAATGGGAGAAAATACTGCACACCCTTTATCTGATAAGGAATTAATATCAAAGATCTAAAAGTCCTTATACAACTCAACAAAATGAAAACAATGCAATCAAAAATGGGGAGAGGAGCTAAATAGTCACTTCTCCAAAGAAGACATGCAGATAGCCCACAGCCACATGAAAAAATTCTGTCATTCATCATCAGGGAAATGCAAAGCAAAACCATAATGAGACACCACCTCACACCTGTGAGAATGGCCCATATTAAAAAAAAAACAAAAAAAAACACAACAAGTGCTGAAGAGGATGTGGAGAAAAGGATCCTCTTATAATATTGGTGGGAATGTGAGCTAGTCCAGCCACTATGGAAAGAAGTGTGGAGATTCCTCAAAAGATTAAAAATGGATCTTCCATATGACCCAGCAATTCCATTCCTAGGTATCTATCTAAAGAGGGCAAAAGAGGGGCCTCCCTGATGGCGCAAGGGGTCAAGTCTCAGCACTATGAAGCTATCCGCAGCCACTGCAGCATGAGTTTGACCCCTGGCTAGGGAGCTGACCCACATGGCGCAGCAGACCTCTCCTGTCTTGTCCCCTGCTCCCCTCAACAGTGTATTTCAGTAGATCTGCCTGTTCTGCTCCCCACTCTGTCTTGGTGAATCCTCTCACCTGCCCCCGACTCCATACCTCTGGCCTGTACCCCAGCTCCTGTATGCATAAATAAATAAATCTTTAAAAATAAAACACAAAGAACACAAATGCACAAATGTGAAAGGAAACCTGGGCTCCTATGCTCACTGCAGCACTATTTACACTAGCTAAGCTGTGGACACAACCTGTATGCCCCAAAACAGACAAGAGGATCAAGATGTGGTCTTTGTACACAATGGGACACTACTCAGCGATGGAAAAAGATAAACTCAAGCCATTTGCAGCAACATGGATGGAGCTGGAAGGGATTATTTTAAGCAAAGTGAGCCAGAAGGAGAAAGATAAACACTGGATGGTTTCACTTACACGTGGAATCTAGACAAACCAAAGAAAGAATCAGACAAATACAAACTGTAGGATGGACCCTTGAAAACACACTGTATGTCTGAGACACTCAGGAGGGTTGGGCGAGGGTAAAAATGGGGAGAGTATAGAAGTAGGGGCAGGAGGAGGGTAAAAGAGGAGGGATAGTAAGGAAGGGGGGTAGGAGAACTTGGTGGGGCGTGGGGAGGAGGGGGGGTGCTCTGGTGGCGAGAAAACTATGTTGACTACACCTGAGGGGAGAAACCCTATATTGTGAAAAAATAAACAAGGATGTTTTAAAAAATAGTTAACACAGTAAAAACTGCTTGATGTTATTTTACATATATATTTATAACAATAAAAATGCAAGTTTAAAAGTAAATGATTTATAAACATAATTACCACATTCAACAATAAAATGGAAAAACTAATAATTGGAAAAAGTCTTAAATTTAGCATTCACTTATTATGCTAAGCAAAGTAAGTCAGAAGGTAAAAGATAAATATCATATGGTTTCATTTATATGTAGAATACAGAGAATCTGAACAAAATGTCTAGAAAAAGACAAAACTTTCAAATTATGTGCCCTTAAGGGAAAAATCTCTCTTCCCAACCTGAGCACGCCACTGTCACCAATGGACAGATCAACAAGACAAAAAATAAACAAGAACATACTAACACTAAATAAAGATCTAGACCACATGGGCCCAAGAGACATCGGTAAGACACTGCACCTCCAAAAACTGAATACACACTTCTCAAGTGCACACTGATCATTCTCCAGGATCAGTCACATGTACTGGGTCACAAGACAAATATCAACAAGTACATGAAGATTGAAATAATACCATAAATTCATCAAACTAGAAATCAACTATGAAAAGAGCAAGGAACCCCCACTACACATGGAAATGGAACAACATGCAACTGAGAGACCACTGCACTAAAGATGAAATCAAAGAAGAAATGAAAAAGTACCTTGAATGAATGAAAATGAGGGAAACAGCTTTTCAGAAGGCATGGGACACAGCAAAAGCAGTATCAAGAGGAAAGTATAAAATAATTCAGGTCCACATCAAGAAACAAGAAAAAAACAATAAAATACCTAATCTCCCATCTCGAAGAACTAGAAAAAGAACATAAAACCCCAAAAGCCAGTAGAAGAAAGGAAATAACAAAAATTAAAGCAGAAATAAATGAAATAGAAATAAAAGACAGTCCAAAAGATCATTGAAACCAAAAGCTGGTTCTTTGAAAAAAATGAATAGATAACCCTCCAGCTAGACTCACAAAGAAAAACAAGAGGGGAGACTCAAATAGGATCATAAATGAAAGAGGAAAAATCACAACAGACAGAGCAGACAGAACTGTGGTCAAGAAAAGACCACATACTGGGTCACGAGACAAACACAGTCCGAGATTACTATGAACCTCTACATGCAAACAAGTTCAACAATCTAGATGCGATGGATAGATTCTTAAGCTAATAAACAGTGGCACCTGGGTATCTGGGCGGTGGCCCATCCGTGTATGGATGAAACCACAAAATGAAAACAAAATTTAGAAATGAGCTTGATATCCTTCACTCAAGGGAACACCATCAGTGGATTGGAGGTGAGGAGGGTAGGACACACTTCCTGAGAAATTTTGGCCAAAAACAGGTTATACAGAGAGTTGGAAGTGGCAGTATTGAAATAGAGCATGACTGGCTGGGATTGCCAATATCTGACATTATCTTAAAAGATCAAGGAACAGGAAATAAGCACAGGGCCAGGGCTGCATGGTGTCTGGGGTCTGGCTGACTAGACGAGCTGCCCTTCTGGTGAAGGGTAGATTCATGGAAACAGGAACACCCCGAACTGACCTGACACCCTGGGCAGGCTGGCTCCATCCTGGGCTAGAGATTCACTTCAACATGAAGAGGTGATGAGTACTTGTTATTTCTTTTTTTTTAAAATAATTTACTTTCTCCTCTCTGGCGTACTAATAAAATCCCTTAAATGAAAAAAAAAAAAATCAAATGTCAAAATCAAGTAACAGGAAAAAAAAAAAATCAAAAGAGGAGGCAGCAACTGCAGTCTGCACACCACCCACGCCCTTGGTTGCTGGACTTTCCTGATGCCCTCCAGAACTGACTCTCCCATCCTCTGTCCTTTGTCTGCAGTTGAAGATGTTATTTGAAGAGGTGGCTGAGGCCATTTCGCGGGTTACTCAGCTTTCCTGGGTCTTCCCCAGGTTTGCAAGGACGTATCCATGTTTATTAAAATTATTTTTCTCCAACTAATTGGCCTTTTATTACAGGAAGTTCTCAGCCAAGAACCCTGCAGGATACAGGGGAAATTACTTTTCCTCCCTTACAGGATCCTGACTCATACACAGAGGACTTTACAAAATGGGAGACAGAAGGTGTTACAGAGCAAACCTGAAGGAAGGGGTTGACCCAGGTTAGGAGTCCTCACCATGTGTTTAAGGATCCAGGGCAAGCTCCCCCAATAAGCAGACAGACTCACCTAAAGTTCTCACCTAAGGAGTGAGAAGAGGGAAAGCTAAGTGAGAAGAGAAAAGGAAAATTTAGTGGCAGCAGCATGTAGCAGTGTTAGGAGGCTAAGATGCACCCTGCTATCCCCAAACCGTGTACACCCTAAATCGGTTCTACCATTTACAACATGAAGACAAAACATACCCTTCAATAGAAAATAACTTTAATACAATTGGTGTGCAACAGAGAAAGAACAGAGTTAAAATAGTTTTCCAATGAAACACCCAAAGGTACCTTTCCCCTGTGGGTAAAAGCCCACCCAAACAGGCTTGGTCCAAACAGGGCCACTGAGGCCAGAAAGCTGCCACAGCCTAAGGCACCTTTTGGCAGGGACCCACAGGAAAGGGGGAGGTGGGGCCAGATTTGTCTGAAAGAAAAGGAGCAAAATCAAGGTAAAGGCTGCCATTGTCAGCCTTCCCATGGGTCCCTCACTTACGTGTCCTGCAAATGTCTCCTTCCAGGTCCCCCAAGTCTCTGGTGCCAGTCCCAGGCCAAGAAGTAAGTGTGCCTCCTCCTAGTCACCCAAGTTCCTTTTAGCTTCCCCTCCTAGCTCAGCTCCACCTTCAGTAGTTGGGGCAGCCTGGAACCTCCCCTTTGTAATCAGGGAGCTGTCTGTCCCCCCACCACAGTATCAGCTGAGAGGAGACATGGGTGCTCCTCATGTTCCTCTTATGGAAGGGAAATGTTTTTCATGTAATAAAGGTGCTGTGGATCTGTTTTTAAGGTAAGACTTTTAAGATTTATTTATTTATGCATACAAGAACTGGGGTACAGGCCAGAGGTGCGGGGGTGAGAAGATTCACCAGAGAGAGTGGGGAGCAGAGCAGGCGGACAGCCTGAAATCCACTGCTGAGGGGAGCAGTGGGCGAGACAGAGGAGGTCTGCTGCGCCCTGGGGGCAGCTCCTGGCTGGCCCTGGATCGAACTCGTGTGCAGAGGCTGTGGACAGCTTCACAGAGCTGTGCTTCACCACTTGCACTGCCAGGGAGGCCCTACACATTTCTTCCTAAGAACACTCGTGATCTACTGTAATGGCAGGAGGACACAGAGCAGGTTATCTATGACCCGAGTAGATGGGGTTAAGGAGAGAGTCCTGGGGTCCTCAGGCTTTTCAGGCTTTTATTGGGATTACCAGGCACACAGCAGGCAGGGGTGCAGGCCTCCCAGCCCCCAGCAAGTCCTCACTCTATCTGGGCTCTCTGGCGTTCTCTGGTGGCCTTGTTCTCATGGTTCTTCTGCTGCTGGCGTCCCCGTGACGCCACCCTTGAAAGCCCAGTCTTAGCCCAGGTGAATCCCATCTACATAGGCCCACACCCACTCCAGGTGCCCGCCATCAGGCATGCATTCAGGACCGCAGGGTTCCGTCATCTATCCTAATGGCGGGAGGGCAGAAAAGCCTGATGCTTTATCCTTACCCTTCACCTACTGTGAAGAGGAACACAGTGTGAATTCCTGCATGGGAAGTGATGGAGGAAAGGAGATACAAGGTCAAGAACCTAACACACAAGGAGGTAGGGGTAGAAGGCATTAGTGTAATCCATTAACCCAGCTATAGAAACCAAGACCCTTAGGCATCAACACCCAGAAACTATCAGGCTGCTCTAGGGAGTGTCAGTGGCACAAACCATCTACCTACAAAGATGAGCCCCCCGCCCCGAAAATGATAAAAACCTAACGCTACCCCCACAAAGGGGCAGCACTCCTGCCCATCTGTGCCTATGCAGGTGCTTCTTCTCACCAACTCTCTCCTTCCACAGGGCAGCAGACTTCCTGCCCGCCTGTGACCTGTACCTGCCGGGGCTTCTCTTCACTGACCTCCCTCAGCGGAGGCAGCTCTCCTCAAGGCCCCGCGTGCAACCATGCAGGCCTCTCTCAGCAAATCTGTCCCTTCGGGGCAGCCCTTCCTGCCCGCTTGTGTCCATGCAAGTGTCTTTTACTCTTCTGTCCCTTTCCCCAATAAACCTGCCCATTAACTACAACTAACGTCTCTGTCTCATGGAGAAACTCCTGGGAAACTCGCTGCTTGCTGCTGAAATGGGAGCTCTGGTGAAATCTGTCCCAGAGTGAACCCAAGGACCCCGCAATCCAAATCCACTGACTCCAAAAACCCTGTTGGAAGCACTGAGAACCGTACCAGCAGTGAAAACACTCCTCAGAGGTGTCAGCAATACCTGCCACTGCTTTTCCCATCATTCTCATCCCATCAGCATGACAACCGTCAACCGGGTGAGTTCATTTTCTGGGGAAAATATCAGTGTCATCAGGACTGCAGGGCTAGATGAAGAAAAGGAACACACACTAGTAAAATCCAAATGACTACTGAAGAATTGGGGCCTGGGGACAGGCCTGGAGTCTGAGGACCCCGGGCAGGCTCTTTCTCAGTCTGGTCTCTGGAGAGAACAAGAATCAACCTGGAGAACAGAGTTACAGGAAAGCAAGACATTTACTGAGAGGCAGGGAGGGAGACGAACAGGAAAGCTCTCTGCAGAGAGAGGGTCCTGCTGGGAGCCTTTGGGGGTGACAAATGGGTGCTTACACAGGGAGAGGGGGCAAGGGGTGGGGTCTGGTCCTTGGGTGTCTCTGAGCCGAGCCGCCTGCTGATTGGCTGGGCTCTCGGGGGTCTCCTGCAGTTCTGAGTTGGTGGGGTTCTCCTGGGCTACCCAGGCCCGCTGAGGGGGCCCACATTACCTGGCCGACCTTCCTGAAAGCAGCCTTTCATTTCTCTACCATTGTGTTACTGCGTTGGTATCTGAACTCAACAATCATTATTAAATGACCTAGGGTGGGGGGGGCGGATGGTGGGGTTGGGGGGCAAGTAAGGGCACTGTAGGGTAAAGTAAAAAGTATCAGGCTTTTCTGCCCTCCCGCTATTAGGATAGATGACGGAACCCTGCGGTCCTGAATGCATGCCTGATGGCAGGCACCTGGAGTGGGGTGTGGGCATAGGAAGATGGGATTCGCCTGGGCTGAGAATGGGCTTTTAAGGGTGGTGTTACAGGGACGCCAGCAGAAGCTGAGAAAGAAGCAAAGTGGAGCAGAACCACAAGAGAGCAGAGAAGCAGAGACCACCAGAGAACGCTGGAGAGCCCAGAAAGAGTGAAGACTTGCTGGGGGCTGGAAGGCTGGCAGGCCCCCAGCACCCTGCCTGCTGTGTACCTGGTAAACCCCAATAAAAGCCTGCAAAAGCCACCGAGGGCTCCAGGACTCCTCCTTTACCGGGTCTGCTGGATCAGAATACTGGCTCAGTGTCATTCCTGCCTCTACAGGCACCCTTTTGGTTCCAGCCCAGTGGTTCTCAATCAGGCTGAGAAGTGGACTTGGGGGCTGGAGCACCCTGTTCCTAACTGACTGCCTGGAACCAATTCCTTGCTTCCTCCCTCACTATCCCCAAATAGCATTAGTCAGCTCAGTGTGATTTTTAAAGGAAAAGGTACCTTCTCAATAGCTCCAACGTCTGAAAATTACCCAAAACGCCTTAGTTGATTTTAGGAAATGATCGCCAATGCTACCAAAATCTAAAAACAACAGTAATATAAAACCAACACTTCCCTAGTTCCCTTTATAAATAAACTTGTAAAAGCTGTGAAGCTGCCCACAGCCTCTGCAGTGTGGGTTTGATCCCCGCTGGCTGGCGAGAATCCCACATGGCGTGGCAGACCTCTCCTGTCAGCAGGCTGCTCCCCTCAGCAGTGTATTTCATCAGTCTGCCTGTTCTGTTCCCCACTCTCTCTGGTGAATCCTCTCACCCTCCCTCCCGCACATCTGGCCTGTACCTGGGTTCTTGTATGCATGACTAAATCTTAAAAAACAAAACAAAACACATCTGTAGGGTAAAGAAAATTTCAGGCTTTTCTGCCCTTCTGCCATCAGGATAGATGATGGATCCTTGTCCTGAATGCATGCCTGATGGCGGGCACCTGGAATAGGGTGTGGGCATAGGTAGATGGGATTCAGCTGAGCTAAGACTGTGCTTTTAAGGGTGGTGTCACGGGGACGCCAGCAGCAGCAGCAGTAGAAGCCGAAGCCGAAAGAGAAACCGAGAAGCAGCAGAACGAACGCCTGACGTAAGTCGGCAAGATCCATGCAGACGGGTATTGGAGCCCTCCAAAGACCTGGAGGGACTAAGGAGAACAGACTGTTTACCTGTGATGACGCTGGAAGCGCCATGGCGGCACAGAAGGTGGACAACGTCCACAAGCTACAGGATGAGACCTGGCGTGAAGGAGACACCAAAGAGAACCAGCCAACGACACCTGAAAGGACCAGCCAATGACCCTTGAGGCAGCAGACTCATCGGCGAAAAGTGGACCATGACTCAGCTCGCCAGTGCTGATGCAGGGAGAGGCCAACGGACTTTGACTGCTGGACATGGACTGATGAACTTGGACTGACAAACCTGCCAGAAGGCGGAGGACCTTGAAGGTTGATATGTTTTGGGACCCTGGGGGTGGAACAGTTTTGTTTGTACACCCCAGGAGATGGGAATCTGGGGGTAGCCAGTGGGCCTTGATGGCCAAAAGCAGCCTGTGCATGCCCAGCAGCCAGGTGGAGGAGAAAAGCCAACTGAGAAGGCAAAAGCTGGTGCTGATGCTAAGTTGAGAAGCCCTGAGTGGCTGTTAAGCAGCCTGGGTATGCTGAAGCCCTGTGAGTCTCGTAAAATCACCTGCGGGTGATGCCCTGCTCATTCTCGGGTGAGGGTGAGGAGCTGAGTAACCTGTCCTTGGGGGACGGGTGGGGAACGTGGCTTGGGGTGGAGCCCAAGACGCATGTAGAGTTTGGATCCCCGACCCATGTGCTTGTGCAGTGGGTTGGCCTGAGTGCAGGGGTCTGCGTGTCGTATGGGTGGCTATGAAGGCCGAGTGTTGGAGCGACTGCAGACAGAAATCCTGAGGGTTGGCGATTACCCCCAACAGAATAGAATCGCCAATCCCAGAGCTAGTGCATCCTGGGGGTGGATGCTGTGTGTGGCTTGTAGCTGAGACTACAGCCAGAGAAGGCCAGGAAGCCTGACGGCTCCGGGCATGTTGCAATAGATGTCGTGAGTGATTCCCCTCCCACGTATGAGCAGTGCCTTTGGCAGCAGATTTGGTGGCTCATCTGCTGGTACCAATAGTTGTCTTTTGCACTAGGTTGGTGCCCTGCCTGGACTTATTTGTGTTCTGTTGTATTTTGTTATATTGTATTTTGTTATATTTGATGTATTTGATTTTGTGGGCCATGGCTGCATTGTTTGTTTGCTTAGAAAATTGTATATATATGTATAGACTGTATGGCAGAAAACCCTGAGGGGATGGCCTGTAGGGTAAAGAAAATATCAGGCTTTTCTGCCCTCCCGCCATCAGGATAGATGATGGATCCTTGTCCTGAATGCATGCCTGATGGCGGGCACCTGGAATAGGGTGTGGGCATAGGTAGATGTGATTCACCTGGGCTAAGACTGGGCTTTTAAGGGCGGCGTCACGGGGACGCCAGCAGCAGCAGCCGAAGCCGAAAGAGAAGCCGAGAAGCAGCAGAACGAACGCCAGAGAGCCCAGATAGAGTGAAGACTTGCTGGGGGCTGGGAGGCCTGCCAGCACCCCTGCCTGCCATATGCCTGGTGAACCCCAATAAAAGACCTGCAAAACCACTGAGGACTCTGACTCCTCCTTTACCTGGTCTGCATGGGATCAGAAAACCTGCACTGTATCCAGTCCTGCCCCTACACCATCACAAAACAAAAAACAACCCCCAGAACCGAAAAAACACCCCCCCTCTCTAGGCAGAGGCAGATATGTGAACATCTCCAATACAAGAAAATGCAAATCACCGACTCAGACACCCCTGCTCCCCCCAGAGCCCAGGGCAACAAGCGTCCCTCATGGGGAAACAGCAGCACCTGATATTTCAGGTGCGGCTACTGAGCTGATGCCCAGAAGCCCCCGCCCGCCCCACTGGGCAAACATGGGCCGAAACAAAAAATGGCAGAGGAGTCGGCAGGGGCCACCACATCCCCCGTCAGCGAACCCCGGCGCCTGGGCCGCCCCCCACCCCCACGCCATGGATGCGGGGCGCAGCCTGCCCAGGGTCTGGCTCTCTACATTCCCCGCCCCCTGGGCTCGCTACACCCCCCTTACCGTATTTTCAGCGCCTGTCCTCCACACGGTCCTCTTCTGCTCCCCTTTCCCTGCCACAGCCCTCACGTTCAGCCTCCCAGCCTCAGGTGTGCCGTGGACGCCTGCCCACCCCAGACTCCAGGCGCCCCCTCAGGCAGCCGAGCGGAGCGCCCACTGCCCAGGGCCTCTCCCCTCCACAGCTGCAGGTCAGCCTGACAGGACTGGGTGCAAACCCCAAGAGGGAAGCATCTTCCCTTTCCCCTCCGCCCACCCCGCCATTTGCCGTCTCTGCACAGTCTCCACCAGGTTTCTCTTGGCCGCGGAGCCCTGCAGCCGTGACCCCCACGGGCGGAGGGCCTAAATAAACACCAGCCAGCAGACACAGCGAAGGCCGCTCTGCTCAGACGGGGCGCCCGCCCAGGGCTGAATCAAGAGACCCTTTGCACCTGCCCCAGGATCGCTCGCATCTGCCGCCCGCAGGCCCCGCTCCCTTGAGGGGAACCGCGGCTCAGTCTCTGTGGGCTCCGCCGTCCCACGCGGGGGCGTCCGGCTCGCGGGCCGTCCCCGGCTGCGGTCTCAGCGCAAGGCACACCCCACTCCCCCCACCCCCCCATGCAAGCACTGTGAGGTCTGAGACATTCAGCTCTCGTGGGGAGAACGGCCCGGCCCCAGGGGTACTCACTCCGTCCCCGCCGTACCAGCTCAGGCCAGCCCTTTGCCGGGGAGCACTGCTGGGCCATGGAGACCCAGCTCCGGGCCCCTCTCCGCCGTGGGCTCCCCCACAGGCCACGTCCCCACCCGCCCGTGAGGTTCCTGTACCCTCACCCTCACGCTACAGCCAACGGGCCTCACCCACGGGCGCCATGAGGAGGCTCAGCTGCTCCGGGAGCATCCGCTATACAAGCACTGGGGTGCAGGCCAGAGGGGCGGGAGGGTGAGAGGATTCCCCAGAGGCAGAGCCAGGAGCAGAACAGGAGACTGACCGAAGTACACTGCTGAGGGGAGCAGCGGGCGAGACAGGAGAGGTCTGCGTGCCATGTGGGTCTCCATGGCCAGCCCGGAATTGAACCGGCGCTACAGAGGCTGCGGACAGCTTCACAGCGCTGCGCTCAACCCGCTGCGCCACGGGGAAGCCCTCCCCTTTCCTCTTAATCTCAGCAACCTCGCTTGCTTTTTAGAGTCCAGTTGTTTTTCTAGGTATTTTATTTTTTTTCCTTGCCTGCTGCTATGTCAACAGCAGATATGTCTTTGTCATTCACACTTGCTTTAGTATAAAGTGTTGCAGAACAGGGTGAGGACACCCCATCACCCCCAAACCTGCCCATTCTAAATAGTTTCTGCCATCCACCACATAGAGACAAGACATCTTTTAGTGCCTGAGACCTTTCAGGAAGGGAACTTTAATACAATTAGTGGGTGAAGGGTAAGGTAAAAGTATCAGGCTTTTCTGCCCTCCCGCCATTAGGATAGATGACGGAACCCTGCGGTCCTGAATGCATGCCTGATGGTGGGCACCTGGAGTGGGGTGTGGGCATAGGTAGATGGGATTCACCTGGGCTAAAACTGGGCTTTTAAGGGAGTCATCACTGGAAGCCAGGGGAAGCCGAGAAGAGAAGCAGAGAAGAAAAGCAGAAGCAGAACCGCAAGAGCAGCAGAGAAGGCCGGAGAGCCCAGACAGAGTGAAGACTTGCTGGGGGCTGGCCTCCCAGGCCTCCCAGCACTCTTACCTACCATGTACCCGGTAAATCCCAATAAAAGCCTGCAAAAGCCACGGAGGGCTCCAGGACTCTCTCTTTCCTTCACCCAGTCTGCTGGAGCAGAGAACCTGCTCCGTGGCCAGTCCTGCCCTTACAGTGTGCAACAACGAAAAGGAGAAGAATAAAGTTCCCTGTCCCTTTGTGGTTAAAGGCCCAGCCCAACAGATTTGGCCCAAAGCAGGGCCACTGATGCTTGAGAGATGCCCCAAGTCAGAAAAGGGTCCAAAAGTGCCAGAACCCACCCACCCTGGGCCCCAGGGGCAGGGGTCTCTCCATGAACAATACAGCGCCCCCTCCTGTGCTTCTGGGCTGGGCATCCTTGTTTCCAAGCCCTGTCTTTACACCAGGAGGTGCGTGGGGTCTGCTCAGCTGTTGTCAATTGGGTCGGCCCGCTGCTGCAGGAGTCCTGTAATGTTCTCTCTTGGGCCTTCTCACTGCGGTCAGGCTCATCTTCTGTGGTTCCAATTTTATTAATGAGGCTTTCCACTGATCAGTCTCTGGGACCAAGTTACATCAGCCAAAGGCCCCTCCAGGCATTCCCCATCATACTTCCTGATGTATACCCACTGCCCCAGGGCGATCATTTTACCTGCTCTTGTTTAACTTGAAAGGAGCCTATTAGGGTCTGGCATGCTACATTTAGCAGACCCACACTAGCAACCTTCACAGGTGTCAAGTTTTTTCCCCCTTGGGGAGCGGAAAAATCATTACTACTATATGTATTTTCCAGATTGGCATGTTTACATCCATTACAGAAATTATTCTCTGTTGTTCTCTGGCCCATCTTTGGCCAGATGCTCTCATTAAGTTAATTCCTATCTCCTTTTGATATAACCTTAACAGTCTTTGAAACTGTTGGATCCAGACACAAAAAGGCATTCAGACTCATATGTCTCATATCCCACAGCTGAATATTTATTTTTTTAAAAGATTTATTTATTTATTATTTCTACAAGCACTGGGTACAGTCAGAAGCGTGGGGGGGTGAGAGAATTCACCAGAGCCAGAGTGGGGAGCAGAGCAGGCAGAAGGACTGAAGTACACTGCTGAGGGGAGCAGCGGGCGGCAGGAGGGGTCTGCGCGCCATGTGGGGTGGCCGGGGAGCAGCCGGGGATCGAACCGGCGCTGCAGAGGCTGCGGGCAGCTTCGCAACCCAGTGCTCAACCGCTGCACCACTGGGGAGGCCCCTGAATATTTAATTTTTAAAGAAGTCCTGGCGCATTTTTAGAGGAAAATGAGTAGATGATTTGAAGAGGACAATTTTGTCAGGAGGTATTAATTGCTCTTGGGTTATAGTGTCTCGATTTCTTTAGTGGACCTACTTAGGAAACAAGTTTTCTAGAAGATAAGTTTAGACCATGAATTCAAATATTTCGAGTTCAAATTAAAGATTGAAAAGTTTTGCTTTTTTGAACTCATCTCTGTATCTCTTTTCTTGTATGCTGAAAATCTTTGTTTACTAGTAATATCAAGATTATAGGGTATAAATTCGGGTGCTTTTATGATTCTTTTTGTCCTTAGGATGTGAACACCAAGCAGACAAATTCTTTTTAAAACCAATTGAATTATTAAATTTTCTCTACTTGGATAAGCCACCAACTTGAAATATAATTAGATCATTTATTTATTTTCTTTCAACGCTTAAGAATTATTCTTTTTCTCTTTTGGTTGTCCAGATGAAATTTTTCCCTAGTCCCATATAAAAACTATACAGCAAACTTGAATATGGAAAGTATGGCTTTCATCCCTTCTTGTTCGTCACTTCTTGTTCTCTCCCTTATCCTATAGCAATCATTTATAAGTTTTTTTCTTTAATCATCCCTAGTTTATTTTCTAAGAAAATTGTGAGCATACATATATATATATCATGTATATTTATCTAGATCTTTTACCACTTTTTTCTTACATGCTTCTTTATTCTTTGCCCTTAAAATATCCTAAGGATCATACCTTAAAGATTCATTTTTTATAGCTGCATTATTCTTCATTATAGGAAGATTCTTTAGCTTTACCAGTCAGACAGTTAGTAATGAATATTTTAGTAGTTTCCAGTTTTTCACCTTAATAGAGTTTACTCTAGAAAACTATAATATCTGTTTCTCTACAGTCTTACCACTAGATTAATAAAATTTAAAGCTTTTTGTTAATCTCATTGGTAAGAAATAATATTAGTCATAACTTAGAATCCCTAGAAAACAGCATCTAAAAGCAATACCCAGGAAATAAAGGATACTTGACCAACTAAACAGGAGTGAGGGAAAAAGTAAAGTGAGAGGGAAGGAGAATAAACTAATGCAAGGTAGTATGTGACTGAACTGGCTACACACCACACCACTGGTTGCTTAGTAAAGGACTATTTCTTAACAGGCTGGATCGAGTGATGCAAACTGAGTTTTATGCATCCAGAAAACCATAACAGAAGTAGATAGTTTGATAGCAGGTCATGATCCTCCTTGAATCACAGACTAAAGGCTTTATATTTTGCTGTATTTGGCGATGAAAGACCAAGGAACATTTTGAAAGTGATAGCAGAGAAGATTAGGAAGATTAGGAAGATCCATCCTGAAGTAGGGAAGGAGAGTGTAGTGAGTAGTGCACCAGCTAGCAAACTATTACACAGTCCAGCAGGAGAGCAATAGAAAACTAAAGTAAGCATTGCAGGATGAAATATATTCAAGAGGTCACACTGGACAAAGAATTGTTAATTTGGTGAATTTAGGGAACCCTAGACTGTAGTGTCTGTGATTGGGTTTTAGGGAGTTTGCAAATTTTTAGATCTTATGCAAATTTTTGTGCCCTAAGTTCATTTTTTAGGGGAAAGGATATTTAGCTTTCACCCAATTCTCAAAGGCAGCTGTGAGCCAAGAAGTAATTAAGAAACTCTGGATCAGCAAGATTTTGTGGCCACTGACAGATTTATGTTGTAAATAAACCTCATTTATGAACTTAGTATAAATGTCATATATATATATATCTATATATATATCTATAT